GCTTCAATATCGAAAGAGTGTTGACTGGTTCCAAAGGCAAAACCTATGGCGTGCGAGATGAATACAGGACCAGTGGGAAGGCCGCCAGACTCATTCTTGGTAGTGTAATATCGACGGTAAGTGATCCTCACTCGAGTGTAATGGTTCAATGTCAATGATTATGATTCAGGCAGAAGAGTATCTGAGATCTGACCCAGTGCTATGGATCCCATCTGAGGTGTGGTTTGGATTCCTGGCGAGACGTGTGCGTGAGATTCAAAGGACTCAGATCGCCATAGTGAGGAAACATCCTCCAAACCTCGGCGTCCTCACAAGCATCCTCAATTATATGCTCCGTTCCACAACCTCCACCCCAATTGTTTTTGACTCGCATCTACGCGAATCTCTGGCCCTTTTGGAATATAGAAATGTCCTAGAGACTGCAGGAATGTTCTTCCTGCAGGAATTCGACCTCGCCAGCGATACCTGCCTGTATGATGTCCAGCAGCAGGATGACATCACGGTGCTTGCTCTCATGGGCGCAAACACGAAGGTGCAGAGAGCTAGAACAGCAGCGAGGCTAGAGATATCCAGAGCTGATGCAGAACGTGAATCCGAGGAGTTTCCCCTTGGTCGGAGGCCTTCATGGGTTCGACTGAAATCAGCCATAGCCAGCTCTCCAGCAAGCATTATGAAGCCTTGGGTGTGGCCTTCCAGACTATCACACGTGCAACTGTCTGTGGGACGACTATTTGTCATGTGCACCAGGCACCTGTGGCTCATGCTCAGAGATGACATCTTCCAGGGAGTTAGGCCATGCCCGGAATCACTGCAGGAAGCCATGAAATGTTGGACGATAACAAGCATCACTGACACCCTGACTGCTGTGACCTTCGAAGCCTGTAATGTCGGACTCCAGGACCATTCTGGTGTGACCCCTGGACGCATGGGCCCAAGGTCAAAATCATTCGCAAACCGATTGTCCACCTTCTTTCCCAATCCTAAATCGCTCAAGAAGGCATCCTCTCAGTGGTCTTCATTGTGGACTGGAGAAGGATACATTGCAGAGTTTCACAGATTATTAACAAGAATGGACGAGGATGAGAGAGCGTTCTTGCAGGATGGACTTGCAGATATATTTTCAAACATTCACTGTCTTCCTGCAAGCACTGCTGCGGCTGTATGGAGAGTCAAACAATCAGCCATTGTCTTCATCACTAACCCGGCATTCTACAAGATTGAATGCTTAGGGAGAGCTGGTGAAAGTCGGAGAGGACCTATCGCACGCCGCCCGGTCAATATAATCAAGGGAAAACGCATTTTTACAGCAGACCTAATGGATGTCACACCCTTTGATGCTCTAGGAGCTCTCAGAAAGCGGTCTGACAGGCAGAAACGCAGGGACCTTCACAAAATACTAACCAAGGCAAACAAGCACAAGAGGGTCCCTCCTCCCCCACGTCCCTCCGGACGGAGCAGACCATTTCCTCTGTCTAGGCTCCACGATTCTGAATAGATGTAGACACGTAGTACTTGATTTTTGAAAGTGAAGCATCATACAGCACACTCGAGCATTCATACACACTGTAATTAACTGTATAGCCAATATTTACTATGATGTTACCTGATCTTACGTTGGTCGCTCTCAGGACATTGGAACACAAAGAGAAAGAGAGGAGGAGGATGTCTTATTGGACCAGGTAGGGCACCGTCAAATGTCTGTTTCATCACCAGACACATGCATCCATTATTGATGTAGTCCAAGTTATTAATCATGGAAAATGAATGTTCAAGAACATTGAATCCACTGGTCAGTAAAAGCAACATTTGTGAGTTATTTCATAGCATCCTCTAGTTATAGCTTCTTCCACTCATCAAATAGCTTCCGGGGTATAATTTCATGACTTTACCACATACCCATTCATACTGTCACTCATTCAGTTTCTCGTACCCTCTTTCTCTTTCCTACTACCCTACCCTGTAAGGCTCAATGTCACTTCCTTCTGCCTTCATTTTCACTACCTTTGCCATTCTCACATTTCACCTGTTATTGGTGGGAACAGTGATGAACAAGACAAGTGGATTCAAGGTCTGAGATCACCACTTTCACCTTTCTCCCATCTCACCTTCTGTTAGTGGGAACCCTAATGATATGTCTGGCCAAGAAATAGAGTGAGAAATAAAAGGTGAGAAGAGGAGGTCGCTCTATTTCATAGACATGTCATCACTGTTCCTACTAACGGAAGGTGAGATGTGAGAAAGGTGAAGGTGACATACTGTGGAGCATGAAAAATAGTATCTCTGATGGTGGACAGTCATCACATTTCTCTAGAATTGATGATACTGGAATTCCTGCCGTGAAACAATGATGCTATCAATTGGCTATTGGTAGTCAATCACAGACCACAAATATTCACAGGAGGCCCACCTGAATATGTGATCCATATAAGTAGATCTCAGACTTCAGACATCTAGTGATCTTATTGGACCAGGTAGGACATTGTCAAATGTCCATTCCATCACCAGACACGTGCATCCATCTATTATTGATGTCATCCAAGTCATCAATCATGATCTGAATGTGCAATCCAGGTTACTTGACAGTCTGAATGCCCTGACGATACCAGGTGTGTGAGCCTGTAGGCACAACTCCCTACATCACATCTATTATTCTTGGCTTGCATATACTGGCAGTCACTATAGTTTTTAACTTGTTCAATAAATAGACAAACTTATCTATGTGTCATAGCCAGTGGCTCATCTACTTACATAGGGTGGTGCGAGGACAGAATTTTATGCTGGTTTCAGACATCTTTCTTGAAGTTTGAGTCACCCAGGTGTATAGAGAATCCAGTGACAAACATACAAGTATGATGGTCATTCTACCTCGAAACACTTCAAGAAGCGAAATTTGTTTGTTCATATCGGGTGATAATATTAGACTCATGCAGGGTGACATCAACCGGAAAACCATCCCAGAAGTGAAAATTATTATTAGTACTGTCAGCAATGGCTTGATCTTCGTAGAGGGTGACAACAACAACACAGGCCCCTCAAAAGCGAAAATTATTAGTCACATTAGTGCTATTAACAGGGATTTGACTATCATACAGGGCGACACGAAGAATAAATGCACAAAGTCAAAATGCCGTCAGAAGCAACATTTGTTAGTACTGACAGTAGTTTGACTCTCACAAAGGGTCACACTAACCAAGATTCCCCCGGATCTGAAACAGTTTGGTGCCATCAACAATGGCTCGACCCTCACAAAGGGTTACACCAACCACAAAAGCCCCCCGGAATCAAAACAGTTGGTGCCATAAACAATGACTCGACCCTCACAAAGGGTTGCAACCAACCATAAAGCCCCCACAAGGGAAGGGGTGGTGTCATAAACAACGACTAGACCCTCACAAAGGGTTGCACCAGCCATAAAGCCCCCAGAATCAAAACAGTTGGTGTCATAAAAAATGACTTGGCCCTCACAAAGGGTTGCACCAACCATAAAAGCCCCCAGAAGGGAAAAAGGTGGTGTCATAAACAATGACTAGACCCTCACAAAGGGTTTGCACCAGCCATAAAGCCCCCAGAAATCAAAATGGTTGGTGCCATAAACATGACTAGACCCTCACAAAGGGTTGCACCAACCATAGAATCAAAACAGTTGGTGTCATAAACAATGACTCGACCCTCACAAAGGGTTGCACCATCCATAAAAAGCCCCCAGAAGCGAAAAAAGGTGGTGCCATCACAATGGTTTGACCCTCACAAAGGGTAAACACCAACCACAAAAGGCCCCAGAACTACAAAGACAAAATATGTACAGTTTACAAAGGGACAGCAATTAAATACATGAGTGAGGGAGGGAGAAGCAAGAAAGAGAATTTTTGGTTCAAGTTGAACCGCATTTTTGCTTATATAATCATTGTCACATCAGGCCACAATAATAAAGCCACATCTTATCATAAGAAATATTCGATGAAACAGCACATTTTTGTGCATATGATCAGCGTCAATCAAACGAATCTATATATTGTAATTGGAAGATGCTTGTTGAAATTTTGCAAGTTGGCTTATTAGAAGCAAATAACCAACATTGATATGCTGCCTCCTCCTCTAAGATTGATTTTCCAGCCATCATATGACATGTATGACTGTATCTTGAACTTGTTCCTGAGGTTATTGAACCATCTAAATCGAGTGGGCATGCCCATTTCATGTGTAAAAATCATGTTTCAAATTTGAACACCCCTGTCATGCTGCCTTACCCTCTAAGATCGATTTTTTCAGCCTTCACATGACTTGCCTGGCTCAAGATAGGACTTTGTTCTAGAAGTTATTGAGCCTCCTGAATCTGATAGCAGCATTTGTTTGGTGCGAAAAAATCATGTTCCAAAGTCATGAGTTATCAAGTCCTGTTGTGCTGAGGCCCTCACCCAAAGTCAATTTTGTCAGCCTTTGCATGACTTGCATAGCTTGATCTCAGGCTTATTTCTGAAGCCATAGACCAGTAGGAGCAACAATTTGATATGGCAAAGTCATGTTGTTGCAAAGTTTGCCCACCTATGGTCAAGTTGACCGCTTGTGCTTATGTAAGCAATGTCACCCCTGTTATGCTGCCTCACCCAATGATTGATTTTTTGAGCTTTCATATGACTTGCTTGGCTTCAAATAGAACTTGTTTCTGGGGTTATTTGGCCGTCTGAATCTGATGGGAACACTGGTTTGGTCCGAAAAAAATCATATTTCAGAGTGATGCTACCCCCACTCCCCCTACCTACTACCTACTGTGCCCAGAGGCAGGATTCCATGTCGATACTGATGTATAAAAGGATGTTCCTAGTGTTTTTGTATCATATTAAGTGATTGGAGATGGTCTCAGAGTCAATCCGGGCCCATGTGAATTGTGATGTGTCAGTTTGCCTGATGCCCCCCCCCACAAAGATCGATTTTTCTAGGCTTCCCATGACTTGTCAGTCCTTCAGGAGCATCCTTCCTGGGGGTTATTGAACCCTCTGAACATGATGGTCAAGCCAGATTTGCCAGAAAAAAATCAGGTTCTTGAGATATGCAAGGTCCCCCTCCCCCTCCTATCTCATATATCTTCATATTATGTGAATACTGATATATCAAAGGATGTTCCTAGTGTTTTATGATCACAGGAATCGATTGGAGATGGTCCCAGATTATTTCTAGCCTGTTTGAATTGAAATATGTCAGTTTGCCTCATACCCCCCCACAAAGATCGATTTTTACAGACTTCCCATGACTTGCCAGTGCTACAAAAGCATTTTTCCTGGGGGTTCTTGATCCACCTGAACACGATGGTCGAGCCAGATTTCCCAGAAAAAATCGCGTTCTTGAGATATACAAGGTCCTCCTCCCCCCTCCTACCTCCTATATTTTGCTGTGCTTGAATTTAACTTAAGACCGATACTGTAAAGGCCTGTCCTAGTGTTTTTTAGGTGTAGGAATCGATTGGTGATAATCCTGGACCACCTGGAGATCAATATTGGTGACATATGGTGGTGGGGCCAAAATGTCAGTATTTTGGCCATATCTCCACAACCCAACCGCCGATTTCTTTAATTGTTGGCTCATATCATTCCTAGAAGTACCCTCCATGATATGTACCAGCCCATGAAAAGAAATTTTTTCACAAGTTTGAAACCTATTTCTGAAATGACCATATAAGTGCCTGCAGAAACCGGTGCCCTACGCTGTAGCTCCACATAAGCCTTTGCAAGTCAGTCAACTGGGACATCACTGACTCAGTCACGCATACTTTCCACAACGTCGACATGGAATGGTCCTCATGCAGGTCCTGTAAAGACTGCCGTTTATCATACTCCACTGCCACCAGACCTGCTAAGAGGCAGAGGAGTGCAAGCATAAAGGGAAAATAGTACTAGTGTCATTGTATCACACTGAACCTTTACGTTTATATCATGAATCATAAATTTCAATATTTGTTCGAGCAAGCAAGGTCAAAATCGGTAACACCGATCCCTAGTAGATAGACATGATGTAGCTAAAGACAATGCTGACGAGCTTGATGTATTACTTGGGGCCATCAGATTCGGACTCGAAATCCGTGAACTCTGCAAACTCTGGTTGATCTTCATCATCCTGATGCTCCCCTTGTGGTCCCCAGTCCTGAACACCATGAAGTGCTTGCGTCGGCGGGTTCAGCATGCCACCCATATACTGATAGCCAGCAGGCCCTACTAAGCCAGTATTTCGAGGGAGGTCCTGCAAGCTCGGAAGCAATAGAACATTCTCATCTTCAGGTTCCGTAACTCCCTGTGAAAGCAGGACTGTCAGGTCATCTTCACCTTCAATCGCCAGGAACTGTGCCAGTAACATCTGATATACATTCCAGAATGAATCCGATGACACTTGTGGTTTGCCGAGTGAGGTATAGAGATATTGTGCACGTTGCTCGAATGAAGGTGGCATGAGATCGGAGACAGGATGATCTGGGGGAGCATAAATTGCTTCGACCTCATCAAAGAGCGCACTTGGCACTGGAACCTTGAGAAGAGTAAGTAGTGTTGAGCTGCAGTCATGGACGACATACTTTGAAGTCGAGTGAATTGAATTCACGAGGTTTCGCGCAAATAATTGCCAGAATGCCATGAGGAAGAATCTTATTTTTGTCCCTACGGGGAGCGTTATGGTTTCTACGATGAGCCCATGCATCGAGCTCAGCCTGGAGCCATGGAATTGCAAGCCATCAGAACACATAGCTAGATAGACAGAGATTGTCAGTGAATACATATGCAAGGAAGTGTTGCATACTTTTGCAGCGTGTTGTTGACGTCGTATAGTCCCCTAGTGACACCTTCCTCCAGGATATTCTCAAAACCTGGAGCAAAGTCCCTGCGAAGCACAGACCACATGATTTCGGGCTTGATGTTCTGGTGCTTTCGCATCCAGCGGTGCTGAAGTGTTCCGTCGAGTGCTGGATCTAGGCGATGTCAGATCATTGTTTGTGCATTGGCAACAGAAAAGTTTTCAGAGCCTGGATCGCTCTGAGTAATCAAAGGTACAGCTGAGATTGCAAAAAAAAAGACATGATCAATGTCTGATCAATGTGAGATGCTTGGTGACATACCTCCGAGTTTTCGGCAACAGTCAAGGTAGTATCTAGCAATGAGGCGTGGATTCTTGTTGGTCCACCAAACCTTCAGCCAATTAATCCAGCCAGTGAATGGATCGAGGCTGATATGCAGCCATAACCCAAAGCGCAGCCATTTGTCGTGCTGGTCTTGGGGCCAGACATCATTAACCCCCGCACACCAAAAAACGCCTCCGTTTGAGACATCCACGACGCCTAGCTTCCACAGCATTCGGCTCTGTGATCTTGAGAAGCTTGGCAATCAGTTCACTGATCAATCATCGATTTAGTAGTGAACAGTACTAGCAAGTAAACAGCAACTCACCGGGGTACATGAAAACTGAACTGCTGGCGCAGGTCTCGTCTGATGGCCTCGGCACCTCAGTGGGGAAATCGTCGTCGAATCTCCCGGACATGCTGTTCGATGGACTCGAGAATATGTTGCTGTTGCCTGGTCCATTTCCAGCCACAGCTATTTCGCATCCGACGGAAGCTGACAACGCTAGCACGATAAATTAGTTGAAGTATTTGCACTGGACATATGTAAGACATGGACCTGAGTCCATATTCCTCCTGGTCATAATGGTCTTTGAGGTGGCACACGATGTCAACATCACTCATGTTGAGCGTGAAATAAAACTGAGCCGGTTCTTGTATTTCCCTGGCAGGAGCTATGCTCGCTCAACAATCAGTGAAACTGGCAGTCTCGGATGCAGGCTTAACACTCACGACATGGCTTATGCTGGTTGGTGCGCCAAGAACGATCAGTCATAATGTCGGGAGCATGATCCAGCACTCGTCAACTTGAATGTTTAAGTTGAAGTTTGAATTGAATTCTGTCACAGATTGCGCTGTCATTGCATTAAGGTACTATCAGCATTCCCTGAGTTACTATCCGTAACCATCGGAGGACTCACAATTTGACGAGGAATGCATCTTGAATATATCACCAGAAACATTAATATTGGCTCTCTCAAGCAGTGGTTGGGGGTCTGACAGGTAAAAAGCCAAACAAACACGCTTAGTGAAGCTGATACGAAGCTGATCACTCCCGCTTTCCATACATGCATCATGAGAGTCGTGCACTCAGCTCCTCAATAAGCCACTCGCTCAGACAACCCTGAACTCTGACTGGATGCTGGGCATAGACTATATAGGATACAAGGCATGATCCACTGTACACGTCACATTCAAGTCATATCTGATATCGAAAAATCCACGAAGGATCGATCGCTAGAATACAATCATTGCAGAACTAAGGTCTGTAACTGTTGATTTTAGTAAGCACAAGGAACAGATAGGCTTTGAAAAGACTCACTCCTCTTGGCACTTTTACCGGTGTTGTCCATGTGCCATGCAACTCAAATCAAGCTCAGGACCTCTGGGTATCATTAATGCAGTTCCAGGGCTATAAAATGGGTGTCGAGAAGCGGGTGGTGCCCAGAATAGGAGGTAATGAATGGACCTGCTGTCACCGTTCAGGACAAAGGGAGTCGAACTGCACTCGTCATGGAATGCTCTCTCCATTAGCGAAATGTAGTCGTCATGGGATGTCCCCTTCGTTAACTCGGAAGTGTCGTAGAGGTTATGGGTAAAATTGGACGAGAAGCAAGTGAAGTGGCTGTTCCAAGTGTTCAATTTCATGGTAGTGGTGTCCTCGATCGTGCAATGTTCATCTGAGAATGCCGAAGGATGTGACACGGCACACTGTTGCAACAGCTGCCTCGTTACTGCATCCCACAGCCAAACAGTTTTATCATGCGAACCACTGACAATGCGAGTGCCATCCGGTGAGAACAAGACCGAGTTAACTGAGTTAGTGGTTAGTGTGCCCCCACAAAGACTCACCGACTGGCTGCCCCGTCGCAGCATCCCACAGCCGAACAGTGGAATCCCAAGAACCACTGACAATGTGAGTGCCGTCCGGCGAGAACGAGACCGAGGAAACTGACGAAGTGTGCCCCCGCATGGACTCACCGACTGACTGCTCCATCGCAGTATGCCACAACTGAACAGTCTCATCCCTTGGACCAGTGACGATGCGAGTCCTGTCCGGCGAGAACGAGACTGACAGAAGTGAACCAGTGTGCCACCTGAGCACAGTCTGAACAGCCGGCCAGTTCATATCTCCTCCAGATGCCACATGAAGAATATTCGGAAACCGTGCAGAAAGACTTTTGGACAGCGGAGAGTTGGCAGGCAAGAATGGGAGTGCTGATACATATAGATGTGGTGTACCGTGTAAAATGATGGCGCCGAAGACTTGAATGAATCTTTGTACGTCCATTGCAGTCGACGAGACGTCCTTGAATTTTGGATGTCCCTGTGGTTACGCATGAGCGCTTTATGTGGCACTCAGTAGCAATATACTCACTTTCAGCCACTGGGAAATGAGCGGAAGGGCAGGAACTGCACCGCTGAGTGCATTGATCCATGCGAGTAACTCGATCCAGAAAAGCGGCCGCTCGCTGTTGAATCAGGAGCACACTTCTTTTGCGAGCTCCTTGTCGAAGACTGCGGTTCGTACGTGCGACGTCTAAAATCGAGATGAATATGACAGATATGGGGGAATGCGTTTTTGGACCCTTTCTTGTAGCCTAGGATCTTCGCCATTAGGCAGATATGACGACTTCAAATCACAGATATTGAAGTGAAGACCGTGTTCTATCACTCGAAGTGATCCGAATGCAGAGTCGTGTTCCGCCTTCGACACGTCGATGAAAGACTCTCCGCTGGATCTTTCGTTTGTTAAGAAATCACGAAAGGATGCGTAAAGGGGTTGGATTGGGGAATCTGGGTCGGTGGTGCCGCTGAGGGGGGAGCCCACTCGAAAAGTCCATGAGGTTTCTTAGCGAGGACTGCAAACTCTCTGTCGTCAAGACCTGACCCCTGCAGCTTCTTAGATACGTAAGCACGGATGTCACGCTCTGCGAACCCTAGTGGAATATCATCCATGAACATCTGTAGAATATGCTGAACACTGTGAAGCTCGTCATTGATGTCGTCAAGCGGGCGAGAGGCAACGATGAAGCGAAAGTCGATTGGGAGATCTGTGATTTTGGGAACGGCAGGGTCTTGATGTTTGGCAGCTAGAATATGGAGGAGGTTGTTTCGTGTCTCTTCTCCACCACTCTCATACAGTGCGTTGATTACGATCACGATGGGTTCCTCAGTTGACCCAGATGACTTCCCCAGTGGTCCGATAACAAGTTTCTGCCACTGCTGAATGATGTCTGCCGTCTTCTTGAGTGAACTCGCGGCCTGAACTGCATCTGCTAATGCCCGCCTCATCTCCGGATCACGGTCAGCCAGATCGCGCACAATCGTGGAAAATATCTCTTCATGCCGATGATCTGCTTCTCGTTGGTGGTCAAAAGAGTAACATGAACCAAGCCCTCCCACATCTTCGAACCACTTAGCAATGGTATGGGAGATGGCCGATTTCCCCTTTCCTCCAGGGCCAGATAGCTACAGCACGCGTGGAATGTTGTCCCCAGTGCTGTTGACCCATTCAGTGATCTGGGAAAGGATTTCCGTGTGCGTCCCTTGAAGACACTGTTTTCTGGCATCTAGTTCCGTGCCGTCTGCATAAGTCATGTTGCCGAGGTTCAATATTTCTTCTGAAAAGGTATGAATATATGTCAAGTCACAAGGATGTCTGAACCCTTACCCCTGCGGTGGACATGTATGGCTATGTTATGAGCGACCTGGTCCCGGAAGGTTTGCATGAACGTATCGAACACATTATTGTACTTTTGGATTGTATCTTCCGTTTCCCAGATGACGTTCTTTCCGGTCTACTCCCTGTGACAATAGTTGAAGCTTGAGACTGTACAGAGCGCAGTAGCGTGTTAAGACTCACAAATTTTATTGGTCTCTGAATAATTTTTGATCGAACGCGCACATTCACGGGTTTGCTGAGAAATCTTTCCAAGGATAGCGCGCATCGACGAGATTTTGCCGCGTATTGACGAGATTTTGCCATGCATCTCGTGTTGTGCTATGAAGCTATGAACTTCAGATAACTTATCGAGAAGTTTGAGCACCGCTGCGTCGCGATCGACTCGAGCTAGATTAATCTGCATACCTGAGTAACAGTAAGAGAGAGGGAGAGAGAAAATGAAAACATACTTTCGCTGCAGGAGACAACACGCCCAGTGCCATCTTTGCATAGGGATGTACCTGTGGGACTAGATTAGTTCAGTTCTAATCGAGAAGAGAGCCCATACATCCACAATCTCTCCGATAACAGCGTCGAGTATCCTGAGTTCGAGATATATGTCCTATCAACTGTCAACAGCATTGAGATCCTCTTGTGCATCTTGAACCAGAGAAACCACAGTTGTCGCTGGTTCCGAACGTGGATGCATGTGCTTTACAGCCTCTTAAATACCCCGAAGCGCCTGGAGGGCAGGTTTAAGAACCTACCAAGGTTGATGAAGTACGTTCAAGATAGACATTCGGAGGAACAAGGTTACGGCTGGTGGAATCCTTCGAGTGCTGATGCCAATCTTGGTCGTATTCCAGGACACTCATTGCGCATGGTCGTGGACGGTGGACTTACCGAGATCCTTGACCTCTTGACACCGCCCTTAACCAAAGCATAGATAGTTTCGTCATGATGCACCGATTCCCGTGGGTGCTAGACGAAGGATGCATCAATATTTGCCAGTGAACTAAGTGATCCTGAAAAGCCACATACCAAGCTTTCAGGAGCTGTTTCCTCGGTGTCTGGAGTGGAATTCCTCAATGTATTGCATTTGCGTTTTGTCCATTTAAAGCGAGGTTCTTTCATATACGGGTGGTTGATGATACATGCATTCATGCGCTTTCAATGTCGTACATTAACGAATAGTTGCCGCGCATTTTCAATTATCGTGCGAAGGTAGTCGCGCTGCAGAGGACACGCATTCATAAAACTTGAATAAGGAGTTGCCTTGAAAAGTCGCTTAAGAATCGGGTGCATATACTTGGATGGAAGTGGAGTACCATATTATATTACAATGGCAACAAAAACACCCTAGGAATCGATGGATAGGCCTAGGCATCGTGAAAATGCTGCGCCACTGCTGCGACTGCTGCGGCAACTGCCGCGACCACTGCTGCGCTGCTCCCAAATACTAGGCTAGCCTTGAGTGCGCATCAATTACACTGACTGCTAGTTACTGGAAGCTCCCAATCCTTGTCCTCCAAACGAACCATGGAGTCGAGCATGCGCCCACTCCTTATTATCATAATCACGCTCGCAAGTCACTATCATCACAAGTACTTCTGGTCTGCAAGTCAGGTCTCCCATATATCGTTTCAACGACTATCTTCCTTGTCCCCAAACAATCTTTCATATTGCATTGTAGTCTTATTCCTGCGTATACAATGCTATTTTTCTTTCTTCTGAGCAAGTGACTGCGCAGTCGCGGGCATCATCTCAAGACGCGGTCAGTGCCACCTTTCTTCGCTTTCTTAGTCCTCCATGGGATCTTGCTACCTGTCGCTTCCGAGGTCCTGACGTATGTTGCTCGACATCGTCGCTGTCACTGAAACCTGGCCCGCGCTAAGTTGATCGTTAACTAGGACCGTGTCGAAAGTCGGAAAGCATAGTACCTCAAGCTCGTCTTCATCATAACCGGGATCTCCTTCATCACGATCCTCGTGGTTCCAGTGGGATGGGAGCCCAGCATATGGGTCCCAATCATCTTGATGGTTCCCAGCATCCAGGCCCCACTGATAGTTTCCTGCAGAGCCTGACTAAGCCGACTTCTCGAACAGGCGCTGTTCGAAGACCGACAGACATTCCAGGTCAACATCCGTGTGGATCACGTCTGTGCTTTTGCCAGTCTGGTTTAAAATGGTTGACCATACGGTTTCGAGAATGAATTCTTCCTGCGCGTCCGCGGTGCCATCTCTGGGGTAGTCGGGGTCTGCCTCCAATATGCTGCGCTTGTTGCATGCGAACATAATAGTGAGTGCGTGAGCAAATGCCGCGCAGCCTTACCATTGCACCACAGTCTCTTGCGCCCCTTCGATGTTATCAAATATCCAATGGGTGACCTGTGCTTGCTGGACTGCGGTCAGATCACCGCAATACTTGACAGTATAGCCGCCTGTTGACGACGCTTGACTTCCCTGTTGCTGTAGATAACGTCCGATGGGCAAATGCTGGATGTCTTCGAGGCGAGGAAGGCTGATGAGGAGCTGTATTAGCTAGCAAACGCAGCTCATGGAGGCAAAACTACCGTGGTCGTAGAACAAGTCTCCCACTGCCTTCCCTATCACAGCTTACCGCATAGAGAACCTCGAAAAAGGTGTGATTTTGACGGGACATGGTGCCCAGAAGATGGGTTCCAGCGGTACGTTGTGTTTCTTTGAAAATCATCCTTTTGTGTCACATATCACCCCGCATGCCTAACGCACGTGTCACTTCAACTCTAGGTGGAAGCATCGTCGTAAAGGCATGCAGTTCAGACTGCATCTCTTCTGTCTGGGGAGACTGAGGAATACCTAATTACACTTCCTCAACTCCATATCGACGAGTTGTGGTACGGATCCTCATACATCGAGCTTGCAGAAACGAGTTACATTCAAAGCTCTACCGGATGGCTTTCTACGGTACGTGCTTACTTTCCACTTCTCATCATCCTCTGTGATATTGATGGGTGTTCGAATGATCTGTTATTCACTCACTTTTCCGTAGCAATTATCGTAGATGTGGACTTTATTGATTCATACTTTTGCTTGAGGTCACTTGTGTGAGCGATAGGGCGATGCCATTGATTGGACGTTCTATGGATGCCCACATGATCTGATATATTCGCCTACTCCATTGGTCACACAAACGGTGAGACTTGATTCATTCAGACTTTCACCTGGGGCTCTAATAATGTATTCTCATTTCTCCATGTCAACAGGACGGACGAAGTTATCTGTTTAAGGTCGCAGCAGACAGAGCTGTGCCATTGTACATTATATGAAGCTCTTTGCCATCGGTCATCGTATGTGATTGCGGCTGGGTCCATGACTCCATCTCACCGCTGCCAGATGTCGATGAACTTGAACTATGACAGGTGCTAGCTTCAAACGTATCAATATCATATGTAGCACACTCGTTATTCTTTGGAACGCAACTGCTTTCCAGATCAGGCTACTAGAATCCTCGATCTCCTCGCACTCACCTCCTACCCATCCATGATCATCTGATCCTCAGAAACCGTAGCCAGAGTCATAATCCCCTTTGTCGTCCTCGGAGTCATCGTCGTAACCCTTTGCTTCCTGTCGTTCCATGGCACCTTTCCGTTCTTCTTCTGCATCTCTGGCGAGTCGGAGGCCACACGCATTTCGTATCCCCCGCGCGACCCATTTGTCACTCAGCCCCTCAAGCATCAACTCATATGGCCTGTAATCACTTTCATCATCAGTACACGCAACATCATATGAAATACCGACAGCAGCGAGAAGCAGCCGTATGCCCCTTACGAGTGATCGGTGATATGCGAGCATGGCCTCTGAGTCGGTTCCAGCAGGTTTCTCTAATTCCCCGAACAACACCTCGTGAACGTCCATAACTCCTTCCTCGTGCAACTCTACCCTCCCAAACTCAACGCGTCGCCCACGTTCGCCATAGTTTTTATAGGAGTACTCATAAAAACCCCAGCCTAAGGTTTGCCACCCATGGTACGCGTACACATCCTCAGGCCCGCCCATCTTGAGCTCATTTTTGATAGCAAGTGCATTGCTTGCCGTCGCAAGTGGGCGGCGTTGGATCTTGTACCCGAGGGTATATTGCCACTCGACCTCCGACCGACGCGAGCGGCGGTAGTATTGAAAATGCACATCAATGTACATTGGCGCAGTGGGTGAGTAGATCCTAACTATATGATCAGTGGAGCGTGGCTGTCGATCACCATGAATGTCAGTAATGAAATAGTGTCAAGAAGTTGTACGCACTTCCTCGTCATCGAGCACCGTCTCGTTGCATAAAATGGTGATGCATTTCTGGAGTGTGCCGTGCTCAAAGTCCATTTCATCCTCAATCTGAGAAACACAAGCTTTGATGCTGTTGGAAAGCCAAGCGTCGTCGGAGTACTTGTCGTATTCATCCTCCTCGGAGTCATCCTCAGAGACCTTGCGTGGCACTGAGACGACTGTGCGGTACTTTTGATTGGTTTGGAGGCGATTGATAGAATAATTGGTCCATGGGCTCTTTGTGGCACGAGTTGGGCGAAGTAAGGGACCAAAGTGATGTTCCGCCAGTTCAAATCCTTGCAGATCAGTTTTAGCTGCTGAAGTATAAGCACTATCGACACTATTTGTATTTGCAGGCATGATGGAGAGTGAGGTACGCGCAGAGCCTAGTTCAGCAGCTACAGATGTAGAGATCGAGAGAAGGGGAGGGGGCGCAATGAAGACAACTCTCATTGTGGCTCTGTGCTCTGGGTTTTAAGTTAGTCGCGGCTGCACATCGTCCGGGTTTGACGTACTTAGCTTATCATGTAGTCCCCCCCTCGTGTGCACGGAGATTAAATGCAAACTGAATTGAGGTTAGAAAAGGCCTGGTACATCGCCGTCGTCTTGGAAGGTTGCATTCAGTACTTGAAGCGAGATCTGAATGAATACATACATGTCGCCGAGTGCTAGTAGGTCCGGTGCCAAATTTGTACTTCGTCGCATCGTTTAAGCGCGCCAAGTATTATTGATCTGATAGTAGGCCCTATTGTTACGTTAGCATATTAGAGCCTTTCCGAGCGACAAGTGAGAGCGCTTACCAGTCGCTTCGTGTCTGCTGAAGCTGACGAACAGATCGTAACTTAACTTAGACAAAAATTTGTGATAGAACGAACGAAACCTCAAACTGAGCGAGCGAGCGCCTATAGTCACGCCCATAAACCCTGAGGCCTGAACCCTGACAGCTTATGTCACTCGCTTAGTAAGCACTCTACCAAATTAACTTGGCTACACAAAACAAAGCTCCCGCCCGATGTCGATTTCACCAACTCCAATGGGTTAGTTAGTTAGTTTGAACGTTAACAGTCTGACAATTATATTCAATATTCAACCATCGTTCATCGATCCCCGTCATCCCGACAGTTTACACATAACTAACTAACTAACTTAACTTACTTGCATTGCAATTGGGGGGCTTTCAGTATCGCCACTTCCATTCGGTGTTGTGTACAAAACGTTCTTGAAGTCAGCGGACTCATTTGCGAATGTGGGCTTCCCAGACGGCTGCATTGCGTGGAAGAATATTTTTTTATGTAATTATATAAGCTCCTTGCCATTCTGTGTCTAAACATATACGTATACAATATTCATTTCGCGATGTTTTCACGGCAGGAAAATTCGGTTTGTCAAGCCCCTGCGCGTGCTGTCATTCACGTCAATGCGACCCCAAAAATCCAACTCGCTTCTCAGCCGCTGAATTGTCGGAAGAGTCACGGCGCGCGCGCACATCTGCGATCAGCTGCACATGTGGTACTATATTTGCCACTAGTACATAGGTGACCTTCATGATCAAGCAACGAAGCCTTCGTCATGCAAGACACTACAATGTTGTCAAAGGTCAAAGGTAAGTCGTGCTCATCATCAGATCTGAGGCTCCAAGCACTACTTGGTGTCTCTGGCACTTTAGCGAGATTCGGATCGTCTCTTCGTCTCCGTCGAAAAATTACATATATGTCGACCATTCATGATCGCCAATCATCATTCAATGGTGCCACAAGCGCTCAGCACGTGGAGAACCATGATCCCGGCAGTTTACGTGTCCTTGGCTCCGTCGGTGGGCCGAAGCCTGGAACAGGTATAACGAACATGTTGGCAAGAAGCAGTGCGCTATCGTTGACATGTTCTGGTAAGTGCATTCACGAAGTATCCACGACCTTGCTCAATATCGTCTTCAAGGGAAACTGAGACTGGATCGATCGTCGTCACCCCACTCGGACTCTGGTGCGATTGAGACTAGGCCTGGTGCTGCAACTGTTCCCTTCTTCGGTATTGAGCCTGCTATTCTGGACCCTGTTAGTGGAAAGGTACTCAAATTAATGCATGTCGTTCAATTATGATATTGACAAAGTTCGCAGGAATTAGAAGGAAGCAATGTCGAGGGAGCTCTCGTCATTAAGCAACCTTGGCCTTAAATTTCCCGTTCTGCATACAACGACCACAGCCGTTACCTGGAGACGTACATGAAGCCATACGCTGGAGTTTTTTTACACGGGAGACGACGCTGCACACCATGAACATGGCTACGTTATGGTGAGGACGTCCATTGGAAGATGTCCCGCCTGTAATGACCATTCTGTAGATATTATCACTTCAGACACACCAGGGAATTCACGTACCACCGGTCAAACCCGGACGATGTGCAGCCGCGACCAATAATTAAATTAGCAGCAGGAATTAAACACACATCTGTACCGTCCTGCTCTTGAAACGCTCCACACACTCATAAGAACATCTACGTCGTCCATGACTTCCGTTCCAAAACCACTCAAGTTTCTAGGCCCACATTATTCTGGCCTCCAGGAACTATTCGAGACATGGCCCGCATCCGAAAACAAGGTGCGAGGAAAGCCTTTCTGTAGGACTCTGGCTTATCATCATGCAGAGTCTATTCGCCCATATTCTCTCTGTTCTCGCTATGACATACTCCGATACTGAATCACGAGGAACCCTCCGCTACCGTATTCTTTCTGCATCTCTCCTCCCTCCTACATCCAAAATCTCTGAACCAGGTTCTTGGGGGCACGAATGCGCCCGTCATATTACTGTTGAACTAGGAGGGGAGTATACCATCCGTCAAGAGGGTGAAGAAGCAGTCCCCCTACCAGTATCAGAGGCTGATTCAGGCGCGCCTAAATCAAAGCCCGCTCCGGTCCCTCCTCCCGAGGATGTCACTTTCTTGCGCACGATACACAAGATCTACCTTCGATTCTCGAAATTCCCCGAAGCTCTCAGTGTCGCGATCCGCCTTAATGACGCTGCACTCATCCGACAAGGCGTCAATGCCTCTGAGAACCCGTAAGTCGCGTCAGATGCACATTGATATTTGCTCAGGGTAATGAAGAAGCAGCTTGCTTTTCTTCTTGCGCGTCCACAAATTCCCATCGAATGGCTGAAAGCGTCTGCTTCAGAAGACGCAGACGCAGATGATGAATACCCAGAAGACATCCCAAAGTGCCTAAGCACCACACAGCTCAGTAGACACTTGAAGGAGTTCGGAAAAGAGGTGGGCGTCGCAGATCCGAAGAGCCTTGAAGATGTACACAAGAGTCATCTTGAGACTACGAGTACGTTCCACTTTTTGTACTTCTGTCTCCGCTCGTTAGCAAGGCATAGCTCCCATCCCTCCTCGACCCGAAAGCACTATCACTCGTGACATCGACTCGGTCATTGGAGTGTCGCGTTCGTTGCCTGATGTCAGGGCACGTTCTCTGGATGATACGTTGGCGCTTGGCGCTGTATGCGTTTACATGCTCAATGCCTGCTTCACCGGCCCCGCTGAGGACTTTGGATGGGAGAGGCTGACTGTCCCAAAATCGCTGGAGCCACGTCGTGGAAGCAATGTGTACGTATCCCCTGCTGGTGCTCCTGGGGCACCATCCAGTCATGCACCAGCGGGTGGTTATGCTCCACCTCCTGGGCCGCCTCCTCAAGGAGGATCGGGCCGAGGTGCTGCGAGTGATTATTACAATGGGCCTTCGCCAGGTATGATTAGACTGTCAAGTATCGCCTCCCTTTAATTAATGGCGAAGTAGGTCAATCAGCACAGTCATACTCGCACACCCCAGATAACGCAGCCGCTTATGGCGATTCCCCTAACCCACCTCGCTACCAAGTCAAAGCCCTCGGGCGGGCTCGACGAAGAGAATTACAAGTCTAATTTCTCTGCTCACGCTCACGCTTATGGGTAGGTTCTTCCTAATGAATGCCCTATCGAGTTGAGCTAAATTGAATGTCATATATTGTAGTTCCGGCCATGATGACAAGCCGATGGCGAATGATGCTACAGGCGCAGCTGCCGCTGTCGAGGCGCGGAAGATCGCAGCTGCAAATAACCAGTCGGGCGACAGGCCGCAGAAAGGAGGTAGACCACAGGGTGGATTCCATCCCGACGCGGACGCTCCACATGCGAGACCATCTGCCGGCCTTTCTTCTGGTGCGCAGCATCCATCAGCTTCGCCATCTTCGTAGTCGATATGCTCAATCCTGCAGATTGCCCTGACGATGACCCAGGCAGGCAAGCTTTTCGACAAGAGGCAGTCAAGGAAAGTCGCAAGGTGAGTTTTTCCACCTGATATATCATCACTTGCGCTAATGACGTGCTACCCATAGCTATGCAATCAGCTTCGGCGACTGCGATGCGCTCGATGGGAGAGTACAAGTCGACGGGTAAAGTAAACATGGAGCCAGGGGAGATGCAGAAGCTTATGGGGCTGGCGATGTCGCTATTCTGAAGTGAAAAGGTAACATTGATGCGGCACAGAATTTGTAATTGATCTTGCGGTCATGTATTTACAATTCGAAGACATTTGGTACGGTCTCTACGCGGTTTTTAAGCATCTGAATATGCACGACGAGCTTCATGTTTTACATAGTCGTTGGTCTCTTGCTTGGTGGAATGCTCGTCCAATCACCATGGTTGCGAGCACAATTTAGTTGTTCTGGAGTGTATGTGCTGAGGACGGAAGCCTGAATAACTGGTCATCGCGCTGTTTTAAGACTGCCAGAAAATTGTGTATAAGGGCATGATTTGTTGTCACCCTGTGATGCGGCTGTGCCGCAATAGGGGCACGCGCTTATGTCAGCGTTCCACAAGAGTCTTAGAGCTTGCCCTTTCACTTCACCGTGTCAACCACTATAGCGCCCCTGTCTACGTTCCTCTTGAGGTTATGACGCCATCAGCAAATCATCGAGTGCCTTATTTGCTCCTTAAGTGCCTCAATTCACACAATAAGGCAAGCTTAAGGCCGTTTTCCCGCCTTAAAATAAGGAGAAAAGTAGATACATTTCCTTAAACTAAGGCGGTTCACTTAAAATCAGGCAAATAAGGCACTTTAAGGATACTATTATTTCGTAAGGACAGAACGATCTAAGTAGATTAAGGCAAAAAAGGACTTTAAGGTGTTCTATGAAAATGACGAAAAAAACATTAGAAAATGCATATGAAAGAAATTGATGATAGTGCGAGCAGGGATTGAAGCGATTGATGATTCGAGGCGGGGAGACAAGTGCACATAAACCAAGTTCTGTCAAACATAATGGCGTCAGAGCAAGAAAAATCGAGATAAAGAAACAAATACTCCAGATGCGGATATGCGAACGTGGATTCATGGGGACCTGACTTCCATCATCAAGAATATTGTCTTCGTCTGGACCCCTGCAGCGAGTGCATTTCATGTACACTTGAGATCGTTGGACGATTTCTTTCACGCGGTCGAAGGGCAGCTCCTGGATTCGCTCCATGTATGCAACCATATCAGTCTCCCAATTGCCCGAAGAAAAAGCAGTGCCCGCGTTACTCATTTTGTTGGTGGCATGATTGAGGGTCGATGTCATCTTGTGTTTCCCCTGGTCCGAAGTATCTTCCACAATGAGGTCGTCGTGAGCTAAAATAAGTGCACGCTCGGCCTGTAGATGATAAATTAGTAAGTTTGTAAAGGTGATGCAAAACTCACGGCTGCGGTGGTCAGTGCAAGGGCTGTTGCATATCCAGGTAACTCGAAGTCAAGCGAGTCAATTATCTGGCGTCCTTGGGTGGCGTTGAGTTGAACAGCAAAGATGCGCAAAATGAATTCTGATAAGAAAGCTCCAGGCGAGTCTTCACTATCTGGATCTTCATACACAAAGCGTGAATCTTCGAGTTGATATTCGGCGTATGCTTTCTGTGCCTCCTTAGTGTCGAATTCATCTGTCGAGGCAAAAAATGTCATGAGGATGCTGATAGCAGTGGAGCCGAAATTTCCTCTCCACTCAGAGATCCTTTGGGATACCTGCCAGCATTGTAATCAACTAGTAGTACTAGAATAGGAATTCACTCACAAGAGTGAAAGCGAGATTGCAGACATCATCATACTGAAAGTTTCCAGGAACGGGATACACCGCCATGGAGATATCCTCGAGAATGTCTGAAAATTTCTGCTCTGGGATAGTCCATGGATAGTCGCTATTTCCGACCCAGTGGATGACTGTTGGAATAAATACAGAATGAAAGGCCGAGTTCTGAGCACCGCTGGGTAAGTGTGAATTCTTTGGCTTTTCTCTCTTCTGATTGAGAATACATGGCGCACGTCCATTTTCGGTTTTGATGTACTTAGGTGTCTGGTCGTCCATTGCGGTCTCCATAATGCTAAATGACATCTGCAAAGGAATCTGTCGGTATTGTCAGGCTACCAGAGTAGATTCTGCCTACAGAGGTTGCGAGCCGACTGTTTGACACTTCACAGACCTATGAAATCCCAGAATCATGGTAAGTGATTCATCTATCTCACAGGACCCACTGGTACTTACCTCAATGTCACCCTGCTGATCCGTCATGTCGACATCCTCCTGAACATCTTCATCAGCATCTTGGTCTTCCTCCATTTCATGCTGCTCTTCGGGTTCGAGGTTGCCCAATAAGACCATGCCACACTTCTGGCCCACTTCCCTACTCCCGCTCCCTCTGAAAGTTTGGATGATTCAGATGCCCTACATTGTAGTGAGTGAAACAGATCAAAGTAATGAAGAGTCAGCTCCAATAGAAGTAACATTGCTGTTAAGACGAACTTACAGCGACTTCCGGAATTTCCCATCATCAATGGCGCTTCCAACACGTGTTTCACTTAAGGATGCTACACCGATGTTGGGCACTTTTTGACTGGCATTCACACCATCCTTGAAGGTGAGTTTCAAGCCTGGATATTTCTTCTTTTGGGTGTTGGTGCCTTGAGACGCTGGATTTGTCCCAACAGCTGTACAAATGGTAATGGTATAGGATTGGTAAGTCCTTGCAACATTATATATTGCGTAAGGCTTATGCGTCTCATTGGGGTTTGCAGTTGGCACTGTGACTGCCTTGGTCACTGGGCGTGGCTTAGGCTTTGGTCTGACAAGGGGTCCAGGGCCAGCACATTGAGCCATCTGCTCAACAGCCATGGCATCTTCCTTCGCAGCGACCTGCTTTTTGAGCATTATCCAAGGCGGTCGCCTTGGCTGACTTCTCTGCTAACACCTTTTTCTTCCAGGTGCAATTACTTCCTTCGGGCGCGCCACGCAATTCGCGTCAAGAACTACCTGTCCAGGATGTTTGTTAGCGTTCCCTGGGCGTGTTGTGGGCTGAGGCATATGTAGAGAATAGAGAGAGCAAGGACAAGCTGTTGAAGGAACGTTGGCAGTGAAGCATTGAATGAATATGGATGCTAGCAGAAAAGTGGCAATGTACCGGCGAGTTTTTATTCATTCAATTGAACGTGTCATAATTTCTGATTCACACACTTACTATTAGTCTAATCCGCATTTTACATCCATTTCCTGGTATCTGTTGCCAACTGCGACTACTCACCACTCAACATGGCCCCAGCTGTCACCAGGCTTCTTTGTCGGTTTCTGAACTGCAACAGGGTCTTCAAAAACAAGTCTGGCCTCACTCAGCACACAAATACGAGGCACGGCACCCGACAACTGCAGCAAGACCTCAATCGCACAGCTCCACTCGCAGGTCCTGGATTTATACCTCCGACAAGTTGTTCTCCCACTCCAGCAGGTGATAACCAGGTTATTGACGAGAATTTTCATCAAGATGCAGCGGGTGAGCAGGAGGATGGAGGCTTTGTACCTGAGGAAGGTACTTGGGTGGACATGGGGTGTTTATTCCACACATTCCATCCGCACCTCACAGGTGAGTGTTTTTAGGAGTCCGTCATACTATGTCACTCATTTCTTTTGACTTAGGACTCAAATGTGATGCTAATGGGTCATTTATCGACCAGGATGCACCCCCACCGCCTCATACGGATGCCTCCATGACCGACTGGATGCCTTATAACGATCGAGCTGAATTTGAGACGGCAGAGTTCTTATTTATGCGCAATCAAATGTCTGCAAAGCAGATTGATACACTTCTTGACTTGTGGGCCGCAACTCTCATTAAGCACAATGACGCTCCCCCTTTTGCAAACCATAGGGACATGTATGCTACCATCGATGCAACACCACTTAGCGATACCCCTTGGAAGAGCTTTACGATGTCCTACAATGGAGTCAGACCCGAACAAGATGTACCGCCATGGATGGATGGACACTATGATGTATGGTATAGAGATCCATTGCAAATGGTGCACAGCATGCTGGCAAACTCTGACTTTGATGGAGGAGTCGAGTTTTCACCATATCACGATTATACTGCTGAGGACAAACAATACTGGAAGAACTTCATGTCAGCTGACTGGGCGTGGAACCAGGCAGTAAGCTTTTTTAATATTCACATTTTTAGCACACTGACGATCATCTCAAGGATGCTATTGCTCAAAATGAGGAGAATCATGGTTTGACATTCGTGCCATTGATTATCGGCAGCGACAAGACTGTTGTTTCTGTCGCTACTGGCCAAACTGAATATCACCCACTTTATCTCTCAATTGGGAACATTCACAATAGTGTATGACGGGCACATCGCAATGGTGTTGTGCTTATTGGATTTCTTTCAATACTGAAATGTAGGTACTTGTTATTCTCATTGCATCATAATTTTCATTTGTTTAGCCACAAAGGAACATAACGACGATACCAAGTACAGAAATTTTCGATGGCAACTATTCCAGCATTCCCTTGCCAAGATTTTCAAGTCTGTAAAACCCTTTATGGAAACTTTTGACGTCACACACTTTCCGGATGGCCATTTTCGACGAACCATGTATGGCTTGGGCCCATACATTGCCAATTATCCAGAACAGTTAATTATCTCTGGCATTGTGCAGAATTGGTGTCCACGGTATGTCACAAATTTTTCTTTCTCTTTTTAATGACTCATTTTATCATAATAGGTGTTTGGCGAATAGAAGGGACCTTGACAGCAGTCAACCATGTCTGCATCGACACGAAGCACACACCGAGTTGCTCGTTGAAGCACTAACACACAAACAGGCTTGGGATGAGTATGGCATCATTGCCGATGTCGTCGTAAGTTGCTTGCTGAAGCTCGCCAAGTCCAATCTCACCTGTCCACTTTGCTAGCCATTTACAAATGATTTTCCTTGAGCGGACATCCATGAGCTCCTATTGCCGGATATTTTACATCAAATAATCAAGGGAGCTTTCAAGGATCATTTGGTTGATTGGGTGGGTGAATATTTGGAGGTCACACATGGTGCTTGTTGTGCGGCCAAGATCATGGATGACATTGACTGCAGGTATCCAAACAGTTCATGTTTTTCTAATAACTACTAACAACATACAGGATAGCAGCAGTCGCCCCATTCGCTGGGTTGCGACGCTTTCCTGACAGGCGTGGTTTCTGGCAATGGACAGGTGACGACTCAAAGGCATTGATGAAGGTATGCTAGAGTATTCCCTTCCGAACAATATGCGAGCTAACTCATATTTAGGTCTATCTAGCTGCAATCGAAGGCCATGTTCCTCAAGATGTGATGCGCACATTCAGTGCATTTCTAGAATTTTGCTACATTGTAAGGCGCGAGGCTCTCACTGAAGATGACCTCATACAACTCCAAGATGCCCTTGACCGCTTTCACAAATACCGGGAGATTTTTAAGGCAACTGGTGTGGTCTCGACATTCTCCCTTCTGCGTCAACACTCCCTGTGCCACTACATATTACTGATTTGACTTTTTGGGGCACCTAACGGCCTTCGCTCTTCGATTACTGAGTCCAAACACATCAAAGCGGTTAAAGAACCTTGGCGCCGATCTAGCAGGTCTAATGCGCTCGGACAAATGCTACTAACAAATCAACACCTTGATAAACTTGCAGCCGCTCATGCAGATTTTGAGGCACATGGTATGCTTCGTGGCTCTTGTCTATCCAATGCTTTGGGAGAACTCCGGAGATGTGCATAATCATTTGATCTGACAATTTAGCCCTTCTCATGTCCCAAAACAGGTCAGAATGTTCATGAAGACAACAACTCGGAATTGGATGACAACATGATGGCTGATATGGCGCAAGAAGATCATTCTAGGCGCCTGCATGTCTACGAACCTCGACACCAATCCGTTGAGGTGGATGCTGGTGAAATTGTTGATGGACCGACCGTGGAGTCCCATGTTGGGCTTGCAGCGACTCCCTGTATGTTAATCTGTTTACTACTTGACCCTTTCTGACAATACATAGGTTGTGTACAAAATGTTCATACACTCAGCCTTGAACTCGACCTTCCACGCCTCCCTCTTTTGATTCAAGAATTCATTCATGATCAGCACTATTCAGAAGACCCCAACCCTCCTGAGTTTGATCCGGCAACAGCACAAGTATTCCTGGGGAAAGTAGCCGTATTTAATTCTGCTGCAGCGTCATTCCATGCACCCAGTGATCTGAGTGGTACCGGAGGTATGCGTCGCGAGCACATCCGGGCAACACCATCGTGGCATGGCGGTGAATCTAGGCATGATTGTATCTTCGTCAATATGGGTGCTGACTTTGACTCTCCTATGGGTGGACTCGCAGTTGTGCGGGTCCTGTGCTTTTTCTCTTTTAACTATTGGACATCATACTATCCTTGTGCCATAGTTCATTGGTATTCTTATGTGCTTGAAGGACGTGATCCCGACACAGGCATGTACATTGTCACACCGACGACAACTGGTGATGGTGTTCCAGACATCTCAATTATTCACATTGATGCTATCTTTCGCGCTGCCCATCTAATTCCAGTCTATGGCCTGGACTTTATCCCCAAAATCAGTCCACACAACTTGTATGACATGTTCAACTCATATTATGTCAACAGATATGCAGATCACCATACGTCCTTCCCTCTGCTGAACACCTTCCATCTTCCTTTCCCTAACCGAATACCCTGCAGATCTGTGTCAACGACAGCCCCCCAGAGCTGCAGATGAAGCCAGATGAAGAATACAATGAACTTCTGAACAACCACCATCTTCTACGAGAATTCATATTTCCTGAGGTTTGTCAGACATGTTGACTTCAAACTTCACTAAAAGCAGATATCAATAAGAATACAACGAACTTCTGAACAACCCGCCGTCTTCTATGAGAATTCATATTTCCTGAGGTTTGTCAGTCATGTTGACTTCAAACTTCACTAAAAGCAGATATTGATAGGTAGCTCCAACTTCCAACACCCTGACTCTTACAGTCTGAGAGTCCCCACCAGACAATGGAAGCTCGCGGGGACAGTATGCAATAACAGTGCTATTGAAATATAGTGCCAGGCAAACGGCCCTAATCCTCATTATCTATCTGTCAACCTTTGTTGTCACTAGTGAACCCAGGTCAGTCCATTGGTGAACCAGCTACGCAGATGATGCTCAATACATTCCATTAGGCTGGTGTCTCCAGTAAGAATGTGACACTTAGTGACCCACATCTGAAGTAGATTATCAGCATTGCTACCAAAATCAAAACACCCTCCCTCACTGTCTACCTCGAGCCTGACATGGCTGCAGACCCAAGCTCCACCATCATCAAGGAGGATTCTGTCTTCGTAGAGTCATTCTCTGCCATTCCTGACGAGGAGATTGAGTCCAAGCTGTATCTTCAGTCGCTGTGGCTCCTTCGTCTTGAGCTTGATCATGCTAAAATGATTGATCACAAGCTCACCATGGCTTATGCCACCGGTTGCAGAAAGCTTCAAGACTGATCTCTTCATCATCTGGAGCGGACGTGGAATCTCAAGGTTTGCATTCATTCTACATATTATACACTAGTACAAGACTGACAGCACAAATTTAGAGTCACCAAGACAAGACTATTCCTCCCTTCCGCTCTCGAGCAATGCGTTGCATCTCAATTCCTGGGCCAGAAGCAGCTCTTCACCTTCCAGAAGCCCAGTGAGACCTCCTTCCCTGCCACTCTTGAGCGACATGTTCTGTCTTGATTCCTGGGCCCGAAACAGTTCTTCCCCCTCGTCCAGAAGCCCAGCGAGGCCTCCGTCCCTTCTGCTCTCGCCTCTGCTTCTTCTGCAGCCACCTCAGCCATGATCGCTGCCTCCGCCCGAACTATTATATCTTCCCATTGGTGCCTCCTCCCTCCCCTGCAATAGACATATTTCGAAGCCATGTAGTATACTAGTGTCCTGTTAATCAACGATTGATGTGACGAGCACCAATAAAACTTACCATAACATTTTTTATTGGAATATATGAATTTTAGTGATTGATCTCTGCGATGAGCAAGTTGTTTGTCACGCGCTGATTTTTTGACTATTCGGAACGATGTGCTAATGTAAATATATTACTAAGCAGGCACCTTGATCACTATCGCTGCCTTGACCGTCTGAGACTACTTATAGTGACCTTGGGCCTTAGAATAAATTGAATAAAGGATGTTACTAGTGACTTATTCCCCTTAACCGCCTGAATGGTATTTTTAAGTAACTTTAAGCAACCTAAGGCACAAAAAGGCACTTGATGATTGGCTGATGGCGAGGTAGTAGGTGAGATATTAAGCGAGGTAATATTTCCAGTCTCCTGTTCACTAATTTGTTCTGCTCTCGCAGACTCATCTATATACTATGTGCCGCTAATACTAAGTAGCCGAGTCTGTATGTACTAATGTATGCTTATTAATAGTGCTGCTGTGGTCCGGTCCAGAACCGTGGTTCAAACCTGACCAACGGTCTGGTTCTAGAAAGTCCGGTCCACTGCGACACCATTGAACCTGACCGAACCAAAGTATGGTTCTCGGTCTGTGTTGCCTGGGATGGTTCTCCATCAGTTCTGAATGGTTCTGAACGGTTCCGAACCTCATGTGAGTCGGTGATATTTCCATTCTACAATGTGTAAGGATTACCAATCGTTTGATGCCGGAAATAGCTGTTTCAATGCTTACCTTAACCACCATCAGTGCATTGCCAGCCTCAGTCAGCACGGACCTCAACTCTCCATCAGCGCCTCATGATTATCGACCCTCAGCTCTCCATTCTTGTCACTCTCACCTCACTCTCAGTTCACCGCTTCCGAATCTGTCAAAACCACTATGCAACTCTCGTCATTTCGTTAATACCATACCCGTTTATATTCGTACTCGCTCAGTCCTTTTGTACTCTCTTTCCTTTCTGTCTACTCTACCCTGTCAGGAGCGACACCACTCCCTTCAGCGCTCGTTGTCACATAATCGATTCAGCATAGCTATACCCAACCCTTAGTATTTCGAAGTATAAAAGTAGCCCATGTACACTCACTACCACAGGCAATCATACCAGTCTCCCAGTCTCAGTCTCGCACTCGTTATCTAAATCGCATCGCTATATCCATCGTTTATCGTCTCGCACTCGTCTCGATCATTATTGCATAACATTCGTTAACGCTAACTAGTTCTACAGCATTTCAGCATCGCACTAGCGGTCTCCACACCCCTTTGAACTTGCAGCGAGAGCCACTTAGGTTCTTTCATTGCAGTATCCGACACTTGCTCAGATTGTGCACGATTATCTTGCCATTCCGGGGAGGGCAGTTCCATCTGAGCAAGCATTCTCTAGCGGGGGCATCACATCTACCATCCGTCGTAATTCACTGGCGCCATCCACCTTTTCTGCGCTACAACTCCTGAAGGCAGCATACAAGTATGGTCATGTTTCAGCGGAGTCAGCTGCATTGGCTAAACTGTCAGAGCTCCTTCCAGATGTATAGAATTTCACTGTACATCTTATTTTCGCAAATATGATCTATGTTTTGGTCTGGTTCACGTTCGAACCTTGAGAGAACCGGACGCGACCATTCTGAACTGTTCTTGTTGGTCCGGTTCTGTGTTCAACAATATGCCCTGGACCGGACGCAGGTTCGGTTTGTGGTTCTTGCTCACCCCTCACTGAACCAGACTGAACTGGACCATGGCAGCACTACTTATTAATGAGTCCGTGTACCGTTGTGTTAGTGGGGACAGAGTCAGTGCGAGGTCTGGGTCTGCAGGGACGGTGGTGGCAGGGGTCTTAGAGGTTTTGGAGCCTTCTGGAGGCCTTAGGTAGCATGCCACACACATGTAGAGAGCTCATCCATCACCATCATAGCAGTTCTGTCTGTCTGTCTGTCTGTCTGTCTGTCTTGGGTCACCCCGTTCCACTGTATTACTAATGTTTGGCTCTTGTTTGCTTACTAACTACAGTGACTGCACTCGGACTTGTACATGTCTGGCACGTCACAACACTCCCCCTCGAGCACCGTTACTCTAAACTCAATCCAGCTCTCAATTTCTGCAAGGTTGGTCCAGGTAGCACCTTTGTGAAGATGGCCGTGGGACAATACTGGAGTTGTAGGATGCCGTTTTGGATGAGTTCGTGGATATAGTGGTATCAGAGGTCTATATGTTTGGTGCTTGCATGAAACTTGTTATTGGATGCTAACATGATAGCTCCCTGGTTATCACAGTAGGTGGGGATAGGTCCTTCTAGCGGTTTATACAACTCGCTGATAAGCGATTTGAGATATAGTATCTCTCGCGCTACTGAGGTGAGTGCTATGTATTCTGCTTCTGCCGTTGATAGGGCGATTAATGTTTGTTTCCTAGTGCTCCATGCTACAGGTGAACCGTGCAGCATGACCACATACCCAGACACTGAGTGTCTGTGGGGTTGGCTTGCCCAATCCGCGTCCACAAATGCTTCGAGGTTCTTGTCCATCTTGCCCAAGGTGAGTTTCATTTCTTTTGTTCCTTTTAGATAATGAATGGCGCGTTTAGCTGCCTCCCAGTGTACATTCCCTACCGCGTGCTCGTTGCTGCATACATTAGGGAGCCAACTGCTCTCTGGTATGGTACATTTTCGGATATTTTAGATTGGGTGCCTGTCGGATGATCTTCTCCTAGGCTTGTACCTGTTTCCACTGGCGTCTGGACTGGTTTGGCTTCTTTGAGATGGAACCGTTCTGTAACCGTCTTGATGTATGCTTCTTGGGACAGTGTTATTGTTTTCTCCTTTTTGTTTCTCTCTACCTTGAGTCCTAGCAACCAGGTGAGCTCTCCTGAGTCTGTTATTTTGAATCGTTTTCTCAGTTCTTCCTTGAAGCTGATTATATGTTTCAGGTATTTTGACGTTACGGCCATATCATCGACTGATACAGTTATGACTGTATGTTTGTCCTCTGCGCGTCGAAAGTAAACGGCCCTGTCTACCTTCGAGCGGTTAAATCCCGCATCCATGAAGAACCTTTCCAGTTCTTCGGACCATTCAAATCCGGCTTGCTTTAGCCCATAGAGGCTGCGCAATAACTTCAAGATCTTTCCTTCCTCTCCTGGCTTGAGATACCCAGGTGGGGGTCTCATGTATATATCATCTCTAAGCGTGGCATTGAGGTAAGCGCTTTTGATGTTAACTTGATGGATTTCTCAGTCTTGATGCACTGCCATTGTTAGGACGACTCTTATTGCCGACATATTTGAGGTGGGTGCAAATGTTTCGGTATAGTCAAGTCCGTGCTCTTGGTGCTGACCATTTGCTACTAGGTGTGCTCTTAACTTGATATTTTCTCCATCCAGTCCTCATTTGGTTGCCAGTACGAAATGGCATGGGATGATGTTTGCTCCTCATGGTGGGTCCACTTTCTCCCAGGTGCCTAGTTTCTCCAATTGACCTATCTCATAGTCTATTGCGTTTTGCCATTCTTCGGCATCTGGACCATTTAACGCTTCCTTTAGCCTTGGTTCTCGTTCTGCTGTGGCTATGGCATAATGTGTGTAAGAATTTGATTGACTGTCTTTTGGTTCGTCCTCCATTGCTGATGCCACTACCTTTCCGTCATTCAAAGCTTTGTAGTAGCCGTCCAGGTGGCGTATTCTTGTTGCCTTTGGTGTTTCCGGTGGTGGCAAGGCTCGTGTACTCTGAGGTGGCATTTTGGGGATTTGGGGTGGTGTTTGCGGAGTCGGTACTGGGGGTGGTAGGACGTGCTGGATGTTACTCTGGGTATTGCTCTTTGGAGCTGTTTCCCTGGACTCCCCCTCATCCACTACATCGTCCTGAGTGTTTATGGTGATAGGGAAGAAGCTAACATTTCTTTCAATAGATACCCTTCGTTTTCCCGGCCAAAATACCCAGTATCCCTTGCTCTCCTCATCTACACCAACACATAACACTTCTGCTTTTGCTTTCAACTTTCCGTGGTTCGGTGAGTGTACATACATTTGTTGTCCGAATTCATGCACTGCAGCTAAACTTGGTTTAGTCTTGTGCATTAATTCATATGACGTGTGTCCTAGGATTGCTCTTGAAGGTATGCGGTTCTTGAGCCAGGTAGCATAATTGATGGCTTCGGCCCATAAGAACTTCGGAAGATCTTTGGCGATGAGCATGGCTCGTGTGTGTTCGACCAATGTTCGATTTAGTCGTTTGGCTATGCTGTTCTGCTGCAGAGAATCATGTACTGTGAGTTGTCTCGTTATTCCTTGATCCTTCAAGTATTCATCAAACTCTTTGCTCAGATATTCGCCTCCTCGATCTGAACGAACTTTATTCAAGTGTGCTCCGTGTTGACGGCTGACATAAGCTTTGTACTGTTTGAATGCAGTAAGTGCATCACTCTTGTTATTCAAGAGGATGTTTCCACACCTTGTACCGGTAATGCCATGTCTCTCTCATCTAAAGGACATTATATTGACAAGGCATGGGGCAAGGACCGATACCGAGAGCTCATGAGAGTCGCCCGACAGTGGAGGCAGTTGAAGACGATGAAATGGCATGGCTTCGGCCATTGTTCCGACAGCCCGAATGCAGGAGATCTCGCATTATTTTGCCCGGCATGTCCTCAGCCTGGGATTAATGTGTCCTTCTCAGGGGATGAATCACTTGATGAGTGAGTCTTCCTCAATACCGAAGTCGCCTCAGCGATAATAACAACTCCAAGGTGGAAATACACCCGGTCATTTGTTATGGATGGAAATTTCAAAGCTGAACACCTGCATCCCATGAAGCCATTTGATGAAGTTTGGCTGTCAGATGGGTTGGGATTCATGGTGGGAAAGGACAGGTATAACACGCATCTTGCAGAGGCTGCCGACACTTTAGAAAAATCAAGCTGCAACAATCACCGGGCAGTAAATCAAGCAAATGCGGCTCGGCACAAGCTGGAATCCACGGGTATCAGGGGAGTAGCCTGTGCGAGACACGGTTGCTTTGTTCCTCACTCGATGGTAGATTTTCAGAAAGGCGAAAGGCAAGCCGACCCAGCCATTCGATATTCACAAGTTAACCATGCATCATTCGCAGACAAATGAACATGGACTATGCCCTTTGTGAGGCTGCCCGGCACAACATGGAAGGCATCACCAGGGCGGTCACCTTCTATGATATCAACTGTCAATACAACAAGCACTTTCGGGTTCGGGTGGATCGAAGCCGATTTCTCGAAATGGTTCCGGAATTGACCATCATTCCCGGAATCGGGTTGTGGCACATCCACGGACATCAGGACAGCTGCTATGTCCGATATGCGTCGAATTTTATCGAAGGCATCGGTCGGATTGATGGAGAGATCATGGAGACCCTATGGTCACGTCTCAACCTGATTTCCCCTGCTGCTCGGGGAATGTCATCCCCGCATCGAAAGGAATGTCTCGATTATCAGATGAATGATTCCAATTTCTGCAAGATGATCCGCATGAAAAGGACCCTTTGCCGAAAATACAAGCAGGCGAAGAATGGCATTGCCGAAAGTGAAAAGGCTTTCGACATACTCAATGAAGCAGCACCCGGCGATTCAAAGACAGAGTGGCTAGCCAGCGAGAGGATCGCTCAGTCCAGCAGAATAAATAATCCTGCGGCTATGGATGTATATGAGATTAATATCAAGAAGGGTTAGTTGACTTTGTCTCCATCAAAGTCTGATTTAATTTTGCATTCAGCACCGAGCAAAAAGGAGATCGAGCTTAGGCTACTAGAGGAGGGTAATGCCTGAAATGCAGCACCTGCTCGCAGGTCTGTGGCGACATGGATATCAATGGGGTTGGCGATTGAAGAGGCTCAAATCGCATTGCTCATCGAGGTCCGAAGGATTGGTAGAAGAACTACCGAGACACAGAAGTTAGACATCGCCCGGCAACGCGATCGTCTCCAAGGCCAGATAGATGGATTCACTCGGTCTGCTATTACGCATCTCGGAGAGGGATTTGATGCAGATGAAGATCCTGAAGACTTGTACTTGGACATTCTTGATGATCTCGATGATGACTTGGCAGACTTCACCGAGACATCTGACACATGGGCAAACTCCCCTGAGCTCACTGTAATCCCATTGCCATCAAACCTCGGGGTAGATCGATGCAGACGCTGTATGGCAGACGATCTCATTCTGCTGGAGATGTCTCTTCGTGAAGGGCAGGCCAATGACTCCCTTCACAACCTCCGAATTCACTTGTGCAACAAGGCAATTCTGTTTTGAACAACAGTTAGGCAAGCCAAATTCCAGGCCCTGAAAACTCGAGCTTGGTCCCAGGTGACGTCGGTGCAGCAGGCAGTGTCCCTCCATGCCAGTATATATACGAAGACGAGGAAGCAAATGATGCAACTGGAGCCAGGGCAAGACCAGGTTCAGAAATACAAACCCCTGCTTCGAGAGCAACTCAAAATCAGCACTGCCGTCGGCGATCCAAATGCCCGAGGTCAGCGAAACGAGTCCCTCGCTTGGTTCTGGTCAGTCGAAGTCGACCTTGGGGGTCCCGATCACTCGTGGAATGAGGAATGTGAGTTCGGGCATGCTTGATGTGTCCCGCACTCAGCTGACGGAGTCATCCGAAGTTTACCGAGTTCATTGGCTCCGGGCAAAGGCACTACGGGATCGATGGAAGGAAGAAATGATGTTGGTCCAATTGGAGATGGATTGGACATGTAACTTTTTTTTGTGGAAAGCAACCCAATGGGGTGACAGGATGCGCGAATCATTGGTGAAACACCTTCCGGGTCATGCATGCTACTTGGGAAGGCAATCCCAAATGTATTCATTGCTGGCACAGGATGCCCAGGCAGCATTTCAAGACCTGAAGACCGGGTTTATAGATGCTCGAGATGAATGAAATTTTTTTGCCAACGATGACCCAAACATTTTAGTCCCGGGAATTGGCCGGGTCGACCCATGTTGGAGTTTGAAAATTTTTATCAATCAACCAGTGGCTCATATCTTGACCTCCGAACCAACTGCCATTGTCATTGTCATTTCCAGCTTCATAATCCTGCATTAACCATGTCTGTATTGCATACTCCCCCAACATCCCCTTCTAATTCTCAGACTTCCGGCAATGGGTTCCGACCCCTCACACTCACTCAGGCAGATATTGCAGCTACAATGTCAATGGCTGCATCTCGCATCCGAGCATCCATCTCTCAATATCAGATGGAGGCTGCCCACACCCAGGAGCCATCTGCTACTCGGATCACGCACTTTAAAGCCGGGCTGCAATGGGAGATAGCTGTAAGAGGCTGATGACTGTGGTGGTCAATGCTGACATTTCCAACAGACTTTTGTGACTCCCATCCTGCAGTACTCAGCTGCAAGGAACATCATTTCGGTTGTTCCGAGCCCGGTTGCTCATATTCTTCAGTTGATTCCCAAGCTCACCTGGAACATGGTTCCGGACCACATCTTTTCATCCCACCTATGCCAGTTTCAAGACGTTGCAGATCTGGGGGATCCTTCCCGCATTGTATCCACCTATGGTACTCCATGGTGGACCGGATCAACTGCCATCCCGAACGAATTATGGCCATGGGATCAGGTATTCGCTAATTGTGTCTGTCACTACCAGCATTGGCTAGTAAGACTTTTACAGAATTTCCTTGAGTGATGACTAATCCTTTCTAGTCTGGCGTTGAGGACGAACGTCTTGTTGTTCCCGAGCAGGTGGATGAAAGCTCAGGTTGCAACACTGAAGGCACTGAGGTGGATGAGGGAACGCCTCCTGACAGTGATTGAGGATCAACAAGCTGGCATCCGTGAAAAGATGGCAGAGATTCAGATGTACACCGCCGTCCTAACCAAATTGAACCCAAGGGGACCAGAGTAGTTCTAGTCCTTCAGTTCAGAATGTTGAAGTCTAAATTCTGTACATGATGAAATAAGTACTGAAAATTACATACTGACTTTCGAATATCTGACCTATTGCTACAGTGGCTCAAAAAACCGTCCGTATGTTTTGGCATTTTTCACTATCTATAATATTGTGTGAGAACAAACAAATGCCTCAAAAACATGCTTATACCACATTGTAGTATGGCTTCAGGGCTTTCATTTGAGCCCTACACCGTGGGAAGCGGTGGAGATATGGTGGAGATACAAGGCTCACAAAATGGTGACTCATGCGGACAGTTTTTTGACTCAAGTATTTTACAGTAATAACCAGGTATTCTAGTATTTTGTATGACCTCCCTTGGCTTTAATTACTGCCTCTATCCTTCTAGGCATACTCTCAATTAATTTCTGGCAATCCTCAGCTGTGATCTTCCCCCATTCCACTGCTACTCTCTCCCAAAGCTCCCATACTCCTTTAGGGGGGTTTTCATAGGCTTGAAGCTTTTTCTTGAGTGTTCCCCAGAGATGTTCAATGACATTGACATCAGGAGACTGTGCTGGCCAGTCAAGAACATTGATGTTATGTTCTTCAAACCATTCCCTAGCTCTTCTGGATGTGTGCTTGGGATCATTATCCTGTTGGAAAATGATATCTTCTTCATCAATCCCTGATTCTGCCAAGCTAGGCAGCAAGTGGTCATTTAAAATGTCCACATACTGCTCAGCATTCATCTTCCCCTCAACCTCAGCAAGCATTCCCACACCATTCCATCCCATACAGCCCCATACCATTAAAGAACCTCCTCCAAACTTGACAGTCCCATTAACCTCTCTGTCTGTTAGGCCATCTCCCTTCTTTTTCCATACATACACCTTCCCATCTGACCCAATCCTATTGATTTTGGTCTCATCTGACCATATAACATGCTTCCAGTCCTCTACAGTCCAGTGTTGATGAGCTAAGGCAAAGGCTAGTCTTCTCTGCCTATGTTTGATGGAGAGAAGAGGCTTTTTCTTCTTTGTTACTGCCTTGAGATGAGCTGCCTTGAGAACATTCCTCACAGTTTGTGAAGAGACAGGGGTAGTGATGGTGGAATTGATATAATGGGTGGCTTGGACAGCATTATCAGCCTTTCCTGTAGTGATATGTTGGATAATAGCCCTTTTGTCAGTAGAGGTAAGCTTGGATGGACATCCTCCACAAGAGTTTTCCTTGTCTGGGTGGCTTTCTTTGATGAACTTGGCCACAGTGGACTTGCATATTCCAGTTCTAGAGGAAATTTGGCGAGCAGAGAGGCCAGCATAAGACAGAGAGAGGATATTATCTCTTTGAGCAGAGGAGATGGCTTTCATGGTGATTATGACTATGATACATGAGATATTCTGGTTTATATAGTTAGATATAGTCATAAAATAACATAATGACACCACTTTATAATTTATATAATAGTGGCATGATTTTTATGGTGTCATAAATAATGATTTATATAGTTTTAATATACACTCAAAAAACTGTCCACATGAGTCATCATTTTATAAGCCTTATATCTCCACCATATCTCCGCCGATTCCCACGGTGTAGGGCTCAAATAAAAGCCCTGAAGCCATACTACAATGTGGTATAAGTATGTCCTTGAGGAATTTGTTCATTCTCACACAATATCATAGATAGTGAAAAATGTCAAAACATGCGGACAGTTTTTTGAGCCACTGTATATGCTGAGTCCTGCATACCAAATATCGAGCATCGAGATCCAGATATCTTGAGTTCCAAATATTGAGTCCCAAACATAGAGTCCCGGATATCCAGTCCCGAAGCCCAAGATTCGAGACGAGACTTGAAACTCGAACATTGCTATGAGTTGCGAGTTTTGAGTCCCCACCGAGTCCTGACAATCAAGTCCCACAGCCTGACTATCGAGTCCCAACCATCGAGTCCCAACCATCGAGTCCCGACAATCGAGTCTTGAAACCCGAGTCCTGACAATTGACTCCCGAAGCCCGAGATTTGAGTGCCGACCATCGAGTATCGAGTCCCCAATATCGAGACCCAAAACCCAAGCAGCCCGAAGCCCGAGATTCGACATGAAACAAATCAAAACTCCAAACACCACGACACTTTCTTGAATCACCGAGTACCGAAACCCGAGTACCGGGTACCGAGTCTTGAAACCTGAATCCGCACTATCGAGTCCCAACTACCGAGTCTTGAAACCCGAGTCCCGACAATCGACTCCCGAAGCCCGAGATGTGAGTGCCGACCATCGAGTATCGAGTCCCTATTATCGAGACCCAAAACACGAAGCCCGAAGCCCGAGATTCGACACTCGAAACAAATCGAAACAAAACTCAAAACATGACACTCATCAATTTTGGGAGTTGTTTTCTTGAATCACTGAGTACCGGGTACCGTGTACCGAAAACCGAAACCCGGTACTCGGTAGTCGGTGAAATCGAATATCGAGTCCCGACTATCAAGTACTGGGTACCACATCACCATCATCGGGATCATCATCGTCCAGAGGTCCTACGGCAGGAGTGCGTGTTGGGGTTTCCGGGTGTCAACGATTAAGGAGTTCGGATATGGTTTGAGCGGTTCCATGGGTGCTAACACGGCGCTGAGAGAAACTGGTGAAGGTGTTGACTATAGGTGTCAGATCACGACGGAGGGAGGTTAGTCCGACCGCGTGCAGAGTTGTTTGTGTCTTGGTAGGAGGCATGATAGATGTTAAGTAACTCAGAAAGGTATGAGTTCGAATATACTGTTAAGACCGTACTCAAGTAGTATCGGATCCGAAGGGCTTCGGCCTCAGCTCGTGCGCTGTGCCCCTTTCCCGAGTCTTGCCCCTTATTTCAGAGAGCTAAAGTATCACGTCTAGTGAGACGGATAAGTATCGTAACGGATAAGTCTTGTATTGCAACGGATAAGTATTGCAATGGATCCGTTAAGACTTCCGGATATCGAATGTATAGAGTAACGGCTAATCCGGATCGGATCTGGACTAGAAACTAACGGGTGAGGACTGTCCGAAGACAGAGGCGGATATGTAGACTATAGGAATCTATCCTAAGTCTCGGAGTAGACAAGAGTAGCGTACTCAAGTCCGGACGGATAACGGAGGGACTTAGAGTCCAGACGGAACGAGTGCAATCTAAGATGATATTCGAACTGATCTACTACAGCGCATATACAAAGGTTTATATACTACGGATAGCTAACAGAATGATCAATAAGCAAAGGTGCGAGGCTATGTACGAAAGTATAAGCAAAGTCTAAGTGGAGCGTATTGGTAAGTTGGATGGATCACGAATCATGAACCGGGAATGAAGTACAAGTAAAAGCGGATTCGTAAGTGTAGCGGATCAGTAAGCATAGCGGATCAGTAAGCAAAGCGGAAGTAAAGGATAACCGGTATACCGGTGTACAGGAATACCGAAAGGAGATGAACGATAGTTAGAGTTATATGAACAGGAAATGAAATAAGAATCAAAGCGGATCTGTGGACCGGACGATGGATATGTTCATCGGATCTGGATCGGATCTGTAACCGGATATATGGTATATGACAACCCCGGATCGTACCTTAACTCCAGCTGCAGGCTTGGCATACTCATCCGAGCATTAGAATAATTCCCCATGCTAGTGAGAATATCGAAGCATTCGGAAATCGATGAGGGGTCTCGATGATTTGGGGTTTCCCGATTGCATATGATGGTGAGGCTGTTAAACACCGTTGCCCAGTACTGGAGAGTCTCTGACATCTTCGGCAGTTCCTTGCTTCGTGCCTTTTCTCCGAGGCTCGCAAAGGCTTGCAACCCTGCCCAGTACTGCTCAGGATGCATCACCCTGAGTGCTGCTGTGGCAATGGCTGCTGGCCTCGCAATGGCTTTGAGGATGTTCTTGGAGGATGGTCCCTTCAATGATGCAGATACCTCCGGATCGGACTGATTCTATGGGATTGGTGAGTTTAACTACCGAGATCGCCATCTCATCAGATCCTACCTTGTGCCCCTGCTGAAACCATGCCGGAGATAAATTAACGCATCCGGGAGTTAGGACATCATTTTCCGAGCTTGGTGTGAACCACTGTTGATTAGTCCGCCAAATCCCATCGAGCTTTATGCTTTGTTCGAGCATGGGAGCTAGCAAATCCGAGGCCGCCCAAATTTCATTCTGTACGTACCATTTGATGTTCAATATCCATCCAGTCACAATATATATAACACACCTGGGTGGCATCGGTCAAGGCATCTGGGAGGTACCATGCGATGATGCCACCGGATGCATCAAGAATTGTCGCGGGTATGTCGATCAACTTTGTGCCCTCATGGCCAGGAGGACACCTCTCGAGCAACTTTTCCTCTCTCTCTTCATTACGCCCCGTGTCCTTTGGGGAGATCAATTTGCTATATCTTGCAATATCAATCGGCATCTGAACTGTGACGAAGCAATTTGACTGATAAAACGAATTTTCCGAATCTGCAGGAAGACTCACTGGGATTTTTATATGCCTTTATGAGCCGATCAACCAATTGATCACAAGCCATCACCAGATCAGTGTCTAGGGTTGGAGAAGGTATAACTGGGTCTCCTCCTGTCTTCTCTGCATTGAATTTCTGTTCCGTATAATCACATGCCACATGAGTGACAGTCAGGGCCCAAGTGCGCAAGAGGGTTATTTCATCATCGGAAGTGGAAGAAACATCCATGATTGAATTGATCTTGTGAGATCAGAAGCTGAATCCTGAATGTCCGCACTTTGGTGTTAAAGGGGGTGGAGATTGAGAGGATCAGATAAGGGAGCCTTGGATGATCTGAGCTTTCAAAGATCTATTTCTCTTATCATCTATTGCTCAATGAAATACCACATGATTGGAAGTCTGTTGGATGTCAGATACTCGTTTGTCGAGACCCGGGCCTCGGATTTCGGTACACTTCACTCGATTTTGATACCCGGGACACCATAGTTGGAACTTGTCTCGAATCTCGGGTCTCGGGTCTCGGGCGTCGGGTCTCGGGTCTCGGGCATCGGGTCTCGGGTCTCGATGGTCGGGACTCGATATACGGGACTCGTTGGTCGGGACTCGATACTCAATTGTCGGGATTCAATGGTCAGGCGTCAGGTTTCATGACTCGGTAGTTGGGACTTGATAGTCGGGACTCGATGGTCGATTTTCGGGATTCGATAGTTGGGGCTCAGATATTGGTACACTTCACTCAATTTTCGGTGGTCGGAACTTGGCATTTGGCATTTGGTAGGCTTGGATGATGTTGGCTTTCAAAGATCTATTATCATCCATTGCTCAATGAGATACCAGATGATCGGAAGTGTGCTGGACATCACATATTTGTTTGTCGAGACCCGGGTCTCGGAACTCGGTACACTTCGCTCGAGTTTCCACTTCACCCCTTTGCAAAGCTCCGTGCCATACCACATCATTAGATGACTTTGAATAATCACCTCCTTTGATTTGGATGATATACAACTAGCTGAGCTCCATCATGTCTACAATTATCATTCTCCTGGGCCCACCCGTCTATCTTATATACCCCCACGTCGGCCTACCCATCTATGCAATATATGTCTCCCGTCGGCCCACCTGTATATAATACATCTTTTACCACTCCCTTGGCCCACCCGTCTACAAAAGAATATTAATTCGTCGGCCCACCCGTCTAATATGATATATATCTGGGCCCACCTGTCTATGTGATAACAAGCACCCTTGATATACCCGGCTATTTGATACATATCTACCTTGGTACACCCATCTACATAATATCCAACTACCTCGGCCGATCCGTCTATTGAAAATTCATGTCCATCGGCCCACCCATCTACTTTACATATTCCCCACCTGGGCCCACCCGTCTCCATCGGGAATAATAACACTCCCGGCCCATCCGTCACAGTTGAGGATATATCTACCCTCGGCCCATGGTCCGCTGGCCCGTATCATACGGGATATTATGCACGTCCGTCCACTCGTATAATACGGAGATATGTTACTGCAATATGTGTGGTTTGTTGATATGAGGGTAAACACCATTTTTGGGGTGTAAAGTGCATTTTTCAGTGCGATTGTGGTCTTCTTGTCTCCCAATGGTAGATCTATACTGACATCTCCTTGTCCTATTGCGTCTATTGTAGATCCGTCTGCAGTGTGGACCTTCTGTGCATTTATGGGGATGAAGTTTACAAACTTTGAGTGGTCAGGGCAAAAATGGGATGTGGCACCAGAGTCTATGATTGCTCCGCGTTTTTCGACAGGTATGTTCAATTGCTTTGCTATTGTGGTCATATCTGATGACGTGAAAGCATATTTGTTTGTTCTTTCAGTTTCAGTTGTGACATTGGCTGCCTGTCTGCCTGTACTTCCTCCTTTCTTCTGCCTTGGTCTTTGACCCTCTTTCCCTCCTCCTGGCCTCCAACAATCGACCTTATAGTGACCTTTCTTGTCACAATTGTAGCACATTATATCTTGATTTGTGCTAATCATTGTGCGACCCTTCCTTTCGGCTGTCCTTGCTGAGAATGCATTGTTCCCGCCCTTCTTCATTGACTTGTGATCTCCCAGCTGTCTATGCTTGTATTCTTCGGTGATGACACTGACTAGTTCATATGGGGTGAGTGGTCGCTTTGTTATTTGAGCTGCTGCATTGATGGATGATAGTAGGGGTCTATAGGATTCTGGCAATGATCCCATGAGGATCACATAGAAATCTTGTTCTTCAATGCTTGCTCCCATGCCTGCTAATGATTTGCGGATGCAAAACATATCTCCAAAGTGCGCATTTACATCACCTCCTTCCTCGCATCTTGTTTCTTGTAAGCATCTGCACAGGTCTATTTGCGCTAGTTCGCTTTTGCCTTCATGTATGGTACATATCTCTGTTCATATCTTCAAGGCATTTCCTAGATTCTGAACTCGCAATAACAACCTATCTGTAATTGTACTGAATAGATGTTGTTTTGTGAATGAGTCCTTTTGCAGGTACACTTCTATCTCTTTCTCCAAGTCATCGATTTCAGTTTGACTAGCCTTTGTCTTGTCAGGCTTGATCATGTCTCCTGCCGAGTCAATTTCGAAAGAAATAAATTCCTTTTTCTGTCCATCCAAATAGCGCATCAAACCTCGCACACGTATCACCATCTGTGCCCTTTCCTTATAGGTAATCCAGTTCGAGCCATCTTCAGCAAGCTGGGGGATATTATAGAGCGGTGATGTCGAGCCGGTGTGAAAGAGAAATAGCGACTTGGCTGTTAGAAACTAGCGCTACTTATCCAAATAGGCGTGAGTGTAGTGTTCGACCCAAGAGGACTGCTATTGAAGCAACTCCCTACTAATATGCAAGGGAAGCGATAGCGCGAAGGGCTAAAAACCTATAGCGACCTAAGACCAAAAACTGATGAGTAGCGCTATAGCCATCAGCGACTAGCGACAAGTGAGTTCCGACAGAGAAACATGCGTATAAGTGAGATGCGCTATGCAAGTTGCTTTATGCGATAGTGCTATGCGACGTCCAACGAGCGACAGCGAGAAGAAATCAAAGGAAGCGAGAGCGAGAAATAAGATAAGACAGTGCAAGTGAAATGCCTGGTTGCGCCTAGATTGTAGCGCGACTACCAATAGTGATCCAAACATTGCGAAAGTCAAACTTAAGAGGGAACTTTTGCGACACGCACTTACATAAAGCAAGTCAAGCGACACGCGATCAAAGAGATTTGGCAAGAGCAGAATTGATTGCACCAAGACTGAGATACAGCAGCTAAAGTGACTCCGACACCAGCAAAGGTCCGGGGAAGGGAAGTACTGTACTGTATGTGCAACAGATCATTTTATCATACTGCGTAAGGGTTCGGAATTGCGTAGGCGAGTATAGTAGCGATACTGGCGAGGGTATGATGTAGCGACAGGAAATAAAACATGCAGCACTGCAGAACATGAGGATACATGTAATAAGACCTGCGACTGATGAGTAGCAACATTTAAGGAAAAATAATGCACCAATGGAGGTGGGTGGACATAGGCAGGACATGGGAGGATGGAATACCTAGGTGTCGGACTGGGCAGCGCGCTATGGGAGAACAGTGGTTCTCAAGCGGATAACTTGGGAATGATAGCGCTGGTGACTAGCGCCTTACTCTTTTTCCTCTAGGCAAGGCAAAATATGCCTATGAGACTCATACGTGCCCAATGCTGGTATGATTGTCACATCTGCGGGAGACTCAAATACCGACTGTCCCCAGTTGGTCTCATGTTGCGACTTGGACTTAGCAAAATTTCATCCATCGATAAGGGCACGTGATCGATGGCGACCCGATATGGAAGTGATGATTGGACAGCGGAAATTTGATAGAAGTGGTGGACACAATTGATGAGCCGGAACAGTGGGTGGAAGTGTAAACATGCGGTGGTCGCGATCGGTGGACTAGAACCAAGGAATAATGGGCATGCAGTGGTCGCGAAGAGTGGGTCGGGGTCAATGGAAGTGTGGGTTGGATCGCAATTCCCTGAAAAACCCTCCGACCTTTCCTTCATCCGCTCCTTCATCACATACTTCCAAAAATGTCTTCCTCACTTTCTCAGAAATTGTCAACCCCAATGTCGACAAACTGCAACGCACTTTGCCGACCTTAGGCTCAAATTAGTGCACCTGTTCGAGGCTATCCCTGAGGACTGCCCTGAGTTAATCCAGTGAAAGGAGGAGTGGGTGTGCTGTCATGCATGGTATGGGAACCATACCATGACATATGTAGACAGGAAGTATTAATAGGAGAGTATACTAAGGTATACTTCATTGTATTACAGGCTTGGTTTCATTTATGACAGATTTACTTGTACTTATATTTTCAGTTTGTTAGTTTCCATCAGTTTCTTTCTCTTTCTTTTTCTAAGGCTTATTCAGCCATCAATTTACTCAGTGAGCCACAAATATGTTACTTAGTGTGTCATGTGACTGGCAATATGCTGATTTGTAAGGATTCTTCATGATTTGTCATGCAGTTTCCATTTGTTTCAGCCACAGATCCTTCAGTGAGGCATCAGATATGTTTGTAAGCATGTCATGTGACTGGCAATATGCTGATTTGTAAGGATTTGTCATGCTTTGTCATGATTTATCATGCTTTGTAATAGTATTTAGTATTTATGTATATTAGATTGATAAGCAGCTGATTCAGCACTGCCAAATGGCATGGTTAGTAAGCCAGTGACTTACTAATGCTGTGATGAGTCATGCTTAGTAAGGGGGGTCCCAAAAAGGTATAAAAGGAGCCCATCTTGCATCTAGTAATCAGACTTCCCACTTTCCACTCTTCTCTCAAACCGTTGTGTTAGTGGGGTCTGGTTCGGTCTGAGCCAGGGGTCTGCCTGAGGTGCCAGGGGTCTTGCCTGGGCCTCGAGGCACTTAGATACATATACCGAGAGCATGTTTGTAGCTAGTCCTCACCCTATCCATCACTGTTTGTCCTTTGTGTTTGGTTCAAGTCTGTCACCTCTTGTCTCGTAGGCCCCGTTCCACCATGTGAGACCCAGTAAGATTCTGAAAGTGCAGGCCAAATAGGTTGCCTTGAAGTAAGATCTAAGACACTTCTACTACTAGTTATATACTACCTAAACTAGAGGTTGACTATATAACACTGAGAAACTTTGTATCACTGAAACCACGAGAAAGACAAGAAGAGGACATGTCAGTAAATCCTATCCCTGTATAGTTGTGTTGTCACTATATATGTGTTCCATATAAGACCCTTAAGTAGCAAGACATCACTGGAGCCCACTGCAAGGGAGGCTTCTTCTTGTTTAAAGTTTACAACCGATCATCGCCTGAGAAAGTTCATTGCGGAACTTTTAAATAATGTCATATTCGTCATTGTCTATTTGTAAACCACGTTGTCATCTTCGTCATTGTCCACTATTTTTGTGGAACATTCTGATACATTGCCATGCCAAGCCACTATCAATGCATTTGCCAACTCAGATATTCGTACAATGGCAAATCCGTCTACACTGTCCACGTTAACAATGCCCAACCTGGGATCTAAGGCAGCACCTGCTAAGTTCAAGGGAGGGTATTCAGAAGTCAAGGGCTTTCTGAAACACTATGAGAAACTGTGTGAATTTAACAACGTAGCTTCAGACATATGCACTTATGTTTTATCAGGCTACTTGTATTGACCCGCAAGTCGAGAATTTATTAGCTGCACCACAAAAGAAGGGTCAAAACGAATCATATTCACAAAGCAAACAAGCGCCAAGTCAAATGAATACAAATAGTCAAAACTGGCCTAACAATAGGCAGAATGTATCTAAGGGTGCACAACCGGGAACAAGATTTTATAGTCCGCCAAACACCCCATTCCAAGAGAGAATGTGCTTTGGGTGTGGGGAGAAAGGACACAGCCTACCCTTCTGTCCACTATTAATGAAATTAATAGGAGAAGGGAAGATCATTACAACTCAGAACAGCCACATCACGAGGCCAGACGGCCAATTTATTAGAAGGCTTCCTGAGGAAAGCGTCATGGAAGCTTTAAAGTGCGAGGACCAAGTACCTGTGTCCCATTTCATCAGGATAAACGTGGAAACAGGGAATCAACAATCTAAGAGTGCATATATTGAGGAATATGTCAGTACCGAAACCGAAACTGAATCAGAGGAAGGTACATACAATAGTGCCACAGATAACGACTCCAACGAAGAATATTTCGCCTTCCCAGTGGAACATACCACGCGAAACTCGAACTGAGCGAGGCAGGAACGTTTCGATCACGTGTTCCCACCTTCAGAGTCTAAGAGAAATGGCGTTGAGAGAGAAAACAAGGGAAAAAATGCACCTAAGAGGAATGTGGCGCAGCCACACACTAAGTCCAAGGAAAGCATGTCATCCAACCAGAAGGACCCATCCTCCAAGAGAAAGGGAGAACTGCCTGTAAAGAACAGTGAGAATAAGGAGCAGGTGGACAGAAGCAAGATAGGAAGAGGTTGGGACAGTGAGGACATCATCATGGATGATGATGCCATAGAGAGCAAGAAGGACTTAGTGAAAAGGAAGGAAACTGCTGTGGGTATCACAACCTGGCAGGCACATATAAGAAAAGTGCTCAACCAGTATAAGTGAGTCTCAGCTCTGCCTAGCTGCTATACTTGCAGAATGCAAGAACGTTCGACCCTAAAGGGGAAGCAAGGAAAGCAAGGATCTATGGAATGATGCTGAACAACCCTGGTGAATGGCGGTGAAAGCGTAAGAAAGCGCATGCGGGAAAGCGAAGTGCGAAAGTGCGCGAAGCGCAGGAAGGTAGTGCAAGTGGTGCACAAGTGTAGGAGACTGATACTGAGACTGATAAGAGGTAAAGCGCGGATCTTAGACGGATACTGATAGTGCCACTAGCTATAGACTGATGCTAGGGCCTCAAAATGATGATGGACTCATGCATTGCATGGAACTAACTGGTGATAGATTCTGAGTGGTAGGAAGGTAAGGTGGAAAAGTTGGGTGTAAAACAAACATGAGAGTATGTAAGTTCTACCTAAGCGCTCTCCCTGGGCTCAGAGCTGAATAGGGAGCGCTCTAAGTATGTAAGTGAGGTAAGGTGATGTAAAGTAAGGGTGCATAACGAAATAGGAAGTGTAATATGCCAAATATAGTCAGATAACAAAAAGGGACATACCAAGGGACTGGTCAGACGATGGATGGATGCTCCTGGATGCTGTGCGATGCAGGGCGCTTAAGTGCGAGAAAGCGCGCAAGGCATGCATGCGGGAATACTGCGTGTTGTGTGGGAAAGTGTTGCGCCTATGGCGCGTTTCGCGGGAAGTGGTGCGCTCCATGGTGGAAGTCATAGTGGATGATGGGCGAGTCGTGCAATAAAGTGCCAGTTGTCAGAATTCGTAAAATGAGCCCATATGCGCCTGCAGAAATGCGAGTCTCTACACCACTCACCAAGATAATTTAAGCGCCGACTGGAAATTGCCGGCCTGTCAATGAATCTCAGAGCTTACAGCTAAGTTCAAACCGGAGAAGGTCCTTGAGTCTGTGTTGAGGACTCCCATTAGATTGGAGGTGGGAGAATTACTTGGGACTTCCCACGAGCTCTGTGGAATTCTCGCTAATGCCATTAAACCGAAACTGATTCAAAATGAACCAAAAATTGAGGCCCACTCAGTGTGGACCAAAACCTGAGGCTTACTAATCAAGATTTCTATGCAGTGTGACGGCCACGCAATAA